AGGGCATTTAGCCCATTTACATTTAAGGTTAATATTGTTATGTGTAAATTGCATCCTGCCATCATGATGCTATCTGGTTATTTTGCACCCTTGTTGATGCAGTTTCTTCATAGTGTCATTGGTCTTTATATATTGGTTTGTTTTTGCAGTGACTGGTACTGGTTTTTTCCTTTACATATTTAGTGCTTCGTTTAGGAGCTCTTGGAAGGCAGGCTGGTGATGACAAAATCTCTCAGCATTTGCTTGTCTGGAAATGATTTTATTTCTCCTTCATTTATGAAGCTTAGTTTGCCTGGATTTGAAATTCTGGGTTTAAAACTATTTTCTTTAGGAATGTTGAATATTGACCCCCACTCTTTTCTGGCTTGTAGGGTTTTTGCTGAGAGGTCCACTCTTAGTCTGATTGTAGTCCCTTTGTAGGTGACCTGGCCTTTCTCTCTGGCTGCCCTTAACATTTTTTCCAACATTTTGACCTTGGGGAATCTGATGATTATGTGTCTTGGGGTTGATCTTCTCGTAGATTATCTTAGTGGAGTTCTCTGTATTTTCTGAATTCGAATGTTGGCCTGTCTTGCTAGGTTGGGGAAGTTTTCCTGGATGATATCCTGAAGTGTGTTTTCCAACTTGGTTTCATTTTCCCCATCTCTTTCAGGTACTTCAATCAGTTATATGTTCGGACTTTTTACATAGTCCCATATTTCCCAGAGGTTTTGTTCATTCCTTTTCATTCTTTTTTCTCCAATCTTGTCTGCATGCTTTTTTCAGCAAGATGGTCTTCAAACTCTGATATCCTTTCTTCTACTTGGTTGATGTGGCTATTGATGCTTGTGTATGCTTCACAACGTTCTCATGCTGTGTTTTTCAGCTCCTTCAAGTTATTTATGTTCCTCTCTAAACTGCTTATTGTAGTTAGCAGCTCCTGTACCCTTTAATTAAGATTCTTAGCTTCTTTGCACTGGATTAGAACATGCTCCTTGAGCTCAGCAGAGTTTGTTATTATCCACCTTCTGAAGCCTACTTCTGTCAATTCATCCATCTCATCCTCTGTCCAGTTCTATGCCCATTTAGAGGAGAAGAGGCGCTCTGGCCTTTTCGGTTTTCAGTGTTTTTTTTTTTTTTTTTTTTCCCGCTGGTTCTTTCTCATCTTCATGAGTTTGTCTACTATCGATCTTTGATGGGGTTTTTGTAGGGACTTTTTTTTTTTTTTTACCTAAATATTTCACAAAATCTTTAATTATTATTTGTTACTTTTAAAAAATTGAAATTCTTTGTCAACTAATATATGAGTTTTTTTTATTATTATTATACTTTAAGTTCTAGGGTACATGTGGATAATGTGCAGGTTTATTATATATGTATACCTGTGCCATGTTGGCGTGCTGCACCCATCAACTTGTCAGCACCCATCAACTCGTCATTTACATCAGGTATACATTTTTGTTGTTGTTGATGCTATTGTTTTTGCTTTCTGTTTGTTTTTCTTGCAGTGGTCAGGTCCCTCTTCTGTAGGGCCACTGCGGTTCACTGGGGGTTCAGTTCAGGCCCTATTCATCTGGTTCACTCCCATGCCTGGAGATGTCACTTGAGGAAGCTGGAGAACAGCAAAGATGGGTGCCTGCTTCTTCCTCTGGGATCTCTGACCTCAAGGGGCACTGACCTGATGCCAATAGAAACACCCTCTATAGGGTGTCTGACAACCCTGTTGGAGGGTCTCACCCCAGTGGGTGGCAGGGAGAGCACAACCTGTTTAATGAAGCACTTTGACTGAGGGGATGTGCTTCACTTGGGTGAAACCCACTTGTCTGGGCTGCCTGGATTCCCCAAACTAGCAGGAGGAAAGACTAAGTCTGCTAGTCTGCAGAGACTGTGGCCACCCCTCTTGCTAGGGACTCAGGCCCAGGGAGATCAGAGTTCTGTCCCTGACTCCCTGACTCCCTGGCTAAAGTTGTTGGAGTTCCTGCAGAGAGGCCCCACACAGTGAGGAGGGATGAGTCAAGGTCAGGCCTGAAGAGGCACTCCGTCAGCAGTCTGCCACAGCCCCTGTGTTGGGCTGCGGTGGATACCTCTTGAGACTAAGCTGTCCATCATCCCTGGCTCCAGCAGGGGAAAAGCACAGCCTGGAGCTATAGAGATGGCTGCTGCCCTTCCCCAACCCGGGGAGCTTAGTGTGTTAGGCAGCTATGGGTCCCAGAATTGGCTGTCACCCCTCCCCTAAGGAGCTCAAACAGCTTAGACAGCAGGGAGCCACAGTTGTGGTGCTGGTCACCCCTCCTCCTGGGAGCTCAGCAGGCTTAAGCAGATACTAGTTTAGTGGCTGTTGAGAATCTATGCAGCTCCATGGTTGGGACCCTTGCCCCAGTAGTGTGAACTCATAAGTGGGATCTTCCAATCCATGGGTTACACAGTTCCATGAAAAAAGCACGTTTTCCCAGGCTGGGTAGCACACTCACTGACTGCCTTTCCTGGCTCAGGATGGGGGCTCCCCTGCCCTGTGTGGCTCTCAAGTGGGCTACAGCACCACACTGCTCTTCCTTCCTCTCTGTGGGTCACGCCAACTGCCTAGTCAGTTCTGATGACAGAACCTGAATACCTTGGTTGCTGGTGCAGGATTGGCTTGCTGTTATCGTTTTCTTTTGTTGTTTTTTTGTTTTTTTGGTTCTTTTGATGGGAGCCTCTGATCACCTCTGCTTTTAGTTGGCTATCTTGGCCCCATCCCTATATAAAATATTTCTATTTCAGAGATTTTAGAAATTATTTTGGAGGAGTAAATTCCACGTAAACTCTTGTTTTTACATTTCTTTCTTTGAAATGACACTTGTGTCTAAGATTATCTAGGTTTTTTAATTTTTTGAATATCTGAGAAGGAGGTACAAAATTTCATCTCTTCCTCTTCATTCTTGGGCCATCCTACTTCTAAGATTATTATCAGATCTTCCCTGCTTAGAGCAGCATAGATGGCAGGGATAATATTTTGAATATTAATCTGTTTTCTTTCTCCTTGTATTTTTCCATTTTCCTTCTATCCATTCAAGAGCTGGTCGTGTGCCTGTTGACAGGGTAGCACATGACAGGAGGAAAGGCAAATACTGCACAAATCTTTCTGGCTTTTGAATTCCAGAAGAGGAATTTTAGAGGCATAGCTCCAGAAATAGTGAAGAGAGTAGAGCTACTCTCCCAAACTCAAAAGAGATTGTCCTAGGCTGGGGAAAGGAGATGAGGTAAAGAGAAAGAGATATCCATTGGCTTCAAAAGCAGAGGATATCTGTGCCATGCTTCCCAATGACTGCTGCTAGGAGGGTTGGCATGACTCCATCAAAAATTGGCTATTTGGAGTGTTAGGAGATGTACTTCTGTAGCCAGTAGGGAAGCTGGTAATCTCTATAATGGAATTGACAATATCCACCTTACCAAGCAGGCATTTTTAAGAATTATAAGAAATAACATGTGAATGGCTGGCACTCAGTAGGTACTCAGTAAATGTTACATTACCTCCAGCCCACATTGACATTTTGGCCCTACTCATCAAACCAGTTCTATTCCTTGATCATTCCCATGTGCCATTTTCTACTTTCTTGCTTGAGGACTGCTGAATGGTACTGGAGAAAGAAAGGCAAAACCATTCAGACAAAGGGTAAGCCATGGCTTCTGTGGCCTCCTCCTCATCCTCCATCCTTGTCCTCCTTCTCCTCCTCCTCTTCCTTCTCTTTTTCTTCCCCCCTTTTCACACTCATTGTGTCCTTCCCCTTCTTCTTTTCCTCTCCTTTTATAAACTTCACTTTAATGCTAACCAACAGTCGTGGCATCCAGCCCTATGTTTCTGTTATGTACTCCTCTAGAGAGTCTCAATTCTCTTCTGCTCTCACAGCAAATCAGAGCCTCTGTTTAGGCCACACACAGCAACCCACAGAGCATGAGCAACATGCATCTGCCTTGCAATATTATGCTGGGGTAAAGTAGAGACAGGGCCTTCTAGACAAAACACCATCTTTCTCCCTGGAGGAAGAATTCTTCAGTTAAGAAGTACTATTAAAGATTGCTTCTCCCTCTGAAGAAAAGTTCCCCACCAGGGTCTCCAAATAAAAGAAATATCTTAAAGAGCTGAGATATTCCTTGTGGTAACTACAAGTTGACTCCCTCAACTCCTGGTTATAACCATGATAGCACATGGCCTGAGAACATGTGGATAGGGAGAAGGAGGTAGGTAGATAATTGAGTTATTCACAGACATGCAATTTATGAGAGACCCTGTGTCATCTTTCGGCCCCCAGATGCATCTTCATGTTCTATTGATTTTCCTGGAACCTCCAGAAACACAGAAGGTGAGGAACTGCTAGCAAGGCTTTGATGTATGCTTAACTGCACGGAACCAAGTCTGCTTTACCTTTTGAGCTGAGCATGATTATCAGATAATACTCAGTTCACTACTTAGCTGCTCCAAAAGTAGATAGATTTCTCTTTGTGGTGCTCAACTTTCTACACTTAGACAGGTGTGGCAGCCCCTCATTGGGGCATATTTGATGGTGCTTTTTACTTGTATAAATAATTGGGTTTTCTCATGCTCGTTCTAGGAAAGCCTGAAGTTTTTCAAAGGCATCTTTTGTGCTGTTATCCTTGGGAAATATTACTGTTGGTTTCCTATCAGAGATTGGAGTCCTTAGAGAATAGGAAATGGGATAGACAAGTTTTGGTTATGAGGAAATTGATGTGGGAGCCATCAGGCATGGGCTTGGGAAGACAGATGTAGATAGAATGCCTTATTGGGATTTTGATTTCCAGATGGTGAGGGATGTGTGGGGAGCTGGAAGTATGGTTACTTTCACTTTCTGTATAGTTCGACCTCTGATAGCTGTGTCTAGGCCATGACTGTGGCTGTGGAGGATCCTCCCAGAAAGCATACCTGCTTAGGGATTGGTCTAATCTGTCTCAGTTCATTTCCTTTTGATTTGGGGGATGTGGTTTGATCTACGTTGTAATATCTTTTTTCTTTCTATTCCTTACAGATTCATGAAGGTGGCAGGAAGTACAGTAGATGCAGTTACCTGGCAACAGTAGGTATTCACCATTTTTGCTCTTACTTATTATCAGCTGCTGTGAAATGAAAGATAATTAGTTGTCACCAAGTTCATAACTGACATTCAATAAGCTATCCTTCATCCTCCAGGAAAAAATTTAAAAGTAACTCCAAAGTTGTTTTTATGGCACATGTTGTCTCGTAGTACTATAATTTTGTTTGGTTGTTTTCAGAAAAATTTGAGAAAACAACTGACGCATTTTGGAGATTTCAGCTATTATGTACCGTTTTAAAATAATCTGTTATCAGTGAATACGTAATGGGGATCTGGGCATGCCACTGTTTTCCCACAGGCTTTTCCTTTGGGAATGAATTTCCTTGTATAAGACAGGAAATAATTTTAATTGCTCAATATATAATGGGGAAATAGAAACACTTTGTTATTAATGTCAGTGGTCTTAATTATTGCCAAGTGAGTCTCTAAAATGAAGCAGCTTTTTTTTAAAAAAAAAAAAAAAAAAAGAATATCAAGATGAAGCAGCTTCAAGAAAGGGAATGAACTCCAACACTGCAGAAAGAATCTTACAATGGAAAAGACCTGTTACCGCAGGATAATGAAAAATACAATTATCTGATAAATAAATTTAAATATTCTATAAGTTCCCTTAGGGCATTTGTACCAGAAGGTCCAACCCTTAACAGTCAATGTCTCACTAATTGTATACTGGAATCCTGTTCTTCTTTTCTCTGAGAAATCTATTTCACAGTATCCTCCAAATCATCTCTTGTCTAATGTGGTGCTCTCAACTCAGACTGTGCTTTTACTCTGGGCCCACATAGGCCTTGGCCTCTTTCTCAGTTACTCTAACCCTTCCTGCCTAGCATGTGTTCTCCTTTTGTCTATCCTCTGTTTGAAGTGGGTCACACTGTCCCCTGTGGATTCATTACAGATGTGAAAGAAAACGAAGTGGATTAAATCTTTATTAAAGATTGCTTCTCCCTCTGAAGAGAAGTTCCCCACCTAAAGTGTTTTTGTTTGCTGGCAATCAATAACTTAAATCATAATGGGAAATATTTTACTCTACATTTATACTCTTAATTTCTCTAAAAAACAAGTTCCAAATGTTTTCAGAAACTCTTATTCTTCTTCAGTTTGTTTTTGTGAGTCATGGATTGAGTAAGCCTGAGGATCGTGTCATTCCCTTGCTTGAAAACCCACAGTGTCTCTCCTTTGCACTTGGACCAAAAGCCAAACTCTCCACACTGGCCTTTTGTGTTTGGCCTCTGCTACTTTCTGATTTCATGTGGTGCCACTCTGCCCTTATTCTGTCCCAGCTCACCAGTGGTCTTTCAATTATTTCAGGTCCATGTGCGTATCTGCCTCTGGGTCTCTGTATATGCTAGTCCTTCTGCCTGAAATGCTGTTCTCCATACTCTTCGTGTGACCAGCTCCTTTTCATATTTTAAGTCTCACCTTACATGTCATTTCCTAGAGAGGCCTTCCCTGATGATCCTATCCAAAACAGGCCTCCCATTTCATTCTTTTTCTTAGCTCTTTTTTAATAGCACTTATGATAACTTAAAATTGCTTTTTTCCTTATGACTTGTCTTTGTAATTTATTTGTTTTTCTTTTCTACCATAATGGCACTTATTCAATTACCAAGTACTTATTTAGACAATAGTTTATTAGTCATTTACTCTGGGGAAAAAATAACAATGGCAACAACAACAACAATAAAAATAACAAGGTGCCAGGAACTGTTCTTAAACTTTGTATGCCTTATTATATCTGATCCTCACAACAACCAAATGAGTTAGGGACTATTTTTATCTCTATTTTACTATAACTTAGATGAAATTGTAGAAAATCCAAAGATTACACAGAAAGTGGAAAATGTTGGACTTAAAGTTGTATCTGTCTCACTCCAAGGGTTATTGTCTTAACTACTACTGCTTTGATAACACGATAATGTCCCTTTACTGAAATTCTGTCCAGTGTCCTCACCAAAAAGGCTATCTGGATAATGTAGCATAAAGGCTGAATCTTGAAGAATTTATAGGATTTGTGGAGAAAGATAATGATATCAGCATAAGAAAATTATTGGCTAAGAATGTATGGCTTTAATTATTATTGCTGACAGGGAGGGATAAGAGAAAGCTTTTATTTTCTATTCAAGTACTCTTCCTGACACAAATGGAATGAAGTGAGCACAGTATTATTTTTATGATGCAAAAATACATTTTTAATAAATACATTTTATTTATTGACTACCTAAAAAATACACACACACACACACACACACACACACACACACACACACACACACATATATATATATGGGCCATGTCTCCAGATAAATATCACTGTTTGCAACTACTCCAAAAATACCCTCAAAAGCAAGCAGGGGATTGTATTTCTTTTGGCTCCAGGATCAGCATTCATTAGAGGACAAATAGCACCTGGAATCTACAATTTATCCTTTCCAGCCATAGTTTTCAGTCAAGACTTGGAAAAGTCATGGAAGAATCCCAGGCAATTCTGGCCAGGAGGACTTCATGAAAATTAAAGCCAAATGCCATGTTTCTTCAATTATGAGAAATACTGAGGTGAAGATATCCTAATAATGTAAAGAAATCAAGAGACATTGTTAGAAAAAAAAGGGTGGGGGAGACTAACATAGAATTTGTCATTTGTCACTATATATAGATGGCCAGAAGAATCAATTCAGTATTGGGATGTTGAGCTTGGAACTTGAACAGCCCAAATTCTGAGTCTGAAGTCATGAATAAACAGATCTCTGTAGTTTGACTCTTTTGATTTGGAAGCATATTACTGGGTTTACTATATTTTGAGGACCAAAATATATGACTTAATAATTCATCCTGCCCACCAACCCATTTAGAAAACCCAGAAAAAGTTATTAAGATGAAAGTATAATTACAAGTATAGTGGAGTAGCTTGTATCGTAATAACCCTTATATAGAGAGCAATGATAAAATATAAAGTATTAAAGAAAAAATGCTGGAATATGACCAAAAAAGGCATAAACCAAAGGAAGGTATTCAACCTTTAAAAGAAGTGAAGAGTACTACATGAGATCTACTCTCACTTGACTTTTTACTGTAGTTGTTGTTGTTGTTGTTGTTGTTATTATTATTATTATTAATCTTGCTTGGTTGCCCAGGCTGGAGTGCAATGGCACGATCTCGGCTCACTGCAAGCTCCGCCTCCTAGGTTCACACCATTTTCCTGCCTCAGCCTTCTGAGTAGCTGGGACTACAGGAGCTCACCACCACACCAGGCTAATTTTTTGTATTTGTAGTACAGACGGGATTTCACCGTGTTCGCCAGGATGGTCTTGATCTCCTGACCTCGTGATCCACCTGCCTCGGCCTCCCAAAGTGCTGGGATTACAGGTGTGAGCCACCATGCCAGCCTTCACTGTAGTTATTTAACAATTCATGCATCAGGAGGTAACTAGAACTCAAACAGAAATGCATGCTCATATTGGCTTGAAGTGTCAAGGAGAAGGAGTCAGAGGCTGGAAATTGAGGGTGGAAATCTCAAAAAGAAGAAACTTCAATGTAAAAATACAAAATATGCATATAAACTTCTCTCAAATCTTTGATCCCTGAAATGTATATATTCATGAGACATTCCAAGGAACCTAGTGGAAAGAAACAGCTGGAAGTCTCAAAAAGTTGAACAGAGATTTCAGCTGCCGTTTGTCACATGAGAGACAGGTTGGAATTTGAATGTCACAAATTTAGAGGGACTTGATAAACACCTTGTTTTTATCCAGTGAAATTAAAAATGTTATGCTTTAGGTGTAAAGTCTGTCTCAGGACTAAGGATTTGCTCTAAGACTCAAGTATAACCAAAACAGACTTGTCCAGAAAAAGCATAAACTGATGCCTTCACAAGAACAAGAAGATCAGTCATTCATTCAACTTCCTGCTAGATTCAAAATCAGCATTCTTCTGTCTCTATAGTGTATCATCCACATTTTGTTATATACAATAAAATAATTACCAGACATGCAAAGAAACAGGAAAATATGACCATGATGAGGAGGATAAGCAATAAATAGAAACCCTGAGATGACCCAGATATTAGAATTAGCTGACAAGGATTTTAAAGAAGCTATTATAATTCATATTATATATTCATCGAGTTCAGGGGAAAATGTCCATATTGAGAAATATCAGCCTGGAGAAATATCAGCAGTGCGATGGAAACTATAAAAAAGAAGCAAATGGAATTCTTGAGGTGAAAAGAAGAATATCTGAAATGGAAACTCATTGGATGGGCTTGACAAGAGACTGGAAACCACAGAAGAAAGAGTAAACTTGCATACTGAGCAATAGAAACTATACAACTTAAAGAACAGAAAGGAAAAAATCATGGAAAAAAATGAACAAAGTTTCAGTGACCTCATTGCCAAAACCAAATAGCCTAACACATGCACAGAGTTCAGACGAATAGGAGAAAGAAAATGTGGCAGAAATTTTTTAAAAATCAAAGCTGAACTTCTCCCAATTTTGGTGGAAAATATTAATTTGCAAATTCAAGATGGAGAAATACAAAGAAAATTATATCAGGGCACATTGTACTCAAACTGCTGAGAACAAAAATAACTTAAAAATCTTTGAAGCATTCAAACAAAAATAACACTTCATATACAGGGAACAAAGACATAAATGATGGCTTATTTGACATCAGAAACAACAGAGGACAGGATGCAACAGAACAATATTCTTAAAGTGATAAAGGAAAAAAAAGTAAAGCCAGAATTCTATATCCAGCAAAAATATTCTTCAAAAATGAAAGTTAAATAGACTTTTTTAATCAATGAAAGCCAGTAGATTTGTGTTGCAAGAAATACTAAAGGAGACCAGGCACGGTGGCTCATGCCTGTAATCCCAACACTTTGGGAGGCTGAGACAGGTGGATCACCTGAGGTCAGGAGGTCAAGACCAGTCTGACAAACATGGTGAAACCCTGTCTCTACTAAAAAATACAAGTATCAGCCGGG